TAAAACGTTTTTCGTCATTTATTTTCACTTTTTTGTCTGAATCGGGTTACGAGTTGTCCGAGTCTTCAACTCTGTGTAAAAACCGAAAATCGCTGGGCGAGTGTACAAATGAGGTGGAGTACCGAGGCAGTTGAGGACTTGTTTTTTAGATATTTTTTTTTGTCGGAGTTTCTGTTGCTCGGGGGGGATTCTGGGCACGAGTGGGCGATGCCACGGGGAGAATCGATTGCGGTTGCTCGGCCCAAAACGATATAAACTGTGATCGATGAGAGAAATAAACTTTTAACTGGGCGGATGCCGTGTTATTTCTTTCTTGCACAGCCTTTATGGCTACTAATGGATTCATTGTTTTTTTAAGATTCCCCTTGCCAAATGAATTTCTTCATTCGCCTGAGTTGGTCCCAAATTTTTTTGTTAATTTTCTTCATAACTCGGGGTAATGAAGACAATTTGTTTGGATAACGAATGAGCGATTGCTGTGGGACCTCTCATTTCTGATATTCCGGGGCTTATGTCTGTCTTCACGAGTCCATTTGTTCAATACAGAGAAGAGAATGTCAATACAAAGGACCTTTAGATGTGCCAATGTGTTGAATCATTTCATTTTTTTCAGACACTAAAAAACGTCTGCGGAGAGAAATATTCAGTAAAAATTACGGAACAATTCACGTAATCCGCAACGGGGAATCGTTTTCCGGCAATTTTTATAGGAATGGAAGAGAAGAAATCTGAAACGTTCAGTGAATTTTCAGGTTCATCACCGAACAAAGTATGAAATTGTCACGTAATTTTTCCCGAAGAAGTAAAATCTGACAGGAACTTGCCGACTTATTAAGCCTCCAGAATAAAACATTCTTGAACGTTCAACAATTTTTATGAAGCTGGTGAGTTATTTCTACGTTTCGTTCCGTAAATTTCTCAATCGTTGGGGAAAAATTACGGAACGGTTTTTAATTTTTACGGAACAAGTCGTAGAGTTTACATGGCAATTCGTACAATTTCAGTTCCGACTCACACTTTTTATTGAAGTTTACTCCGCTCGCGGATTACGTTTCGAAACGTAATGTTTACGTTTCTTCTGGTAATTTTTATTCAATTTTTCTCTTCGTGTGAATAAAATAGAATATTTGATTTTTCAATGCACGATTTCCTGAAATTTCAGTGTAAATTAAACGAGAAAAATTTCCGAGATTTGGCGTGGGAAATCCAGACGAAAATTTTCAACAGTGTATGGTCTACACATTAGGAATTTTTTCTCTCATTGCCAGTGCAGTCACATCCCGTCAGATCAAATCAAAAGAAATCCAGTTCCACCTAATTGCACCGATTTTGACGATGGAGAGCCGAATGAAGGAGTATGAATGCCACCAACAGCGATAATACCCCAATCCCACCTCCCCAATTCCAATATCTGGACAGCCGATGTTTTGGATGAGGTAGTATCACCGATTAGTTTCACTTCACGATTCGACTCACATCTCCACTCCGATATTTTCACTTTTTTTTCCCCCATTCGTTCTGCCGATGGTAAGTGACCCCAACGACAACTGGCTTCCGGTTTCTCGAGGCAGATAATGACAGCGGGACACCACAAAAGATTCCACCAAAGGACCTCGTGTAGTTCTACCCTCGAGGGATTCCCCATGGGTACCACCTATTATTCTCAACCCAAAATCTTTGCGAAAAAAATCCACTGACCTGATGATAAATCTGTGTGTGCGTTTTGTGTACATGTCCCGGGGGTCTAAATTGCGCTCTTGGTGAAATGGAATACACCTGCCCTCACTTTAGATGAGACACGCTCCCCGCCAGTGGTCTTTATTTTATAAGAGGAGCCTTCAGGAACCTCGGTGCACATCTCACTTTTTCTTGTCCTCTCTTTTTATGATCGGCGAGAAAAAAACAATTGGTTCTTGAGTTTCAGAGATCCACGGATTTTATCCTGGCCCAATGGTGGAGTAATTATCGTTATTCCTGCGGGCTAAATATTGCGAAGAAATTTTTTTCGTGCGGGTTCTTCACCAAATTGGTAAGGATTGTTCGCAGTTTTTATAGGCATGACTGCACACTGCTAAAATTTTTCCACTGAAATTTCCGGTAAGGATCTTGGAAATTCGCGGGAACTGGAGATTTTCGGTTAATTATTACGGAAAAATAGATAAAAAATCAGAGAAACCTGTCCTTGAGTTCCTGATTCCTCTGAATTGTCAGGAGATTCCTTCAGAAATTTCTAGACTTTTAAAAATTTTAAAGGAATTCCCTGGAAATTTAAGGAAATTTAGCAGTAAATATTTATGTTCACTTAAAAATTACTGTAAATTGTGAAATTTCCGCCTTCCGGCCGCTAAAAAATTGGAACCTGACCTGAATGTTCATCGAAACTTGAAATTACGTTGACTTTTTCCCCTTAAATCGAACTAAAGGCCTTTTTCCGGAAAATCCGCCAAATTTTTTGAACTATGTCATGTCTACTAAAAATAGAATTCATACAAAAAAAAGCTTTATTTTGAGACTTATGATCTCAAATTGAGATCTCCATACACTGATAGAATGATTCATTTATTCCAAACGAGATTCGTTAACTATTAACAAATGAACATTTGGTGGGACCGAATAGACCTTAACCTCCAACCAAAATCCATTCGTTAACAATAACTAATCCGTTCTATCAGTGTACACCGCTCCAGAATTACTTTATTTTCTCTCTATATTATAAAAATCCTAATCGACTTCAGGTGACGAAAATTCGGTACTCGAAACTAAGACTCCAAAATTGAGGATCACAAGGGTCACAAGGGTCTGAATAAAGATCATGGATGTCATATAGGGATCATATGGGATTGGCGAGCGGAGCGAGCAAGGGGCGTAGCCCCCTAGTGTTTCCAACCACTGCCATGATTTTTTGATAACACAGCTACTCAAATAGTCACGTTTCAACGAGTTCTGGATTATGAGTATTAGTATAATCGGCTTAAAAATTTCTCCAAATCCTGGTGGGGTGGAATATTTACGAACTTCCAACTCGACATTCGTCGATTTTACATCACACAATTCACCATTACGACTATATCCCTTTGAACTGTGGGGTTTTCAGACCAAAAACCGTCGGAACACGTGCCAATACTCCCTCTGCAGCGCCACTAACCATCTCAAAACGAAGCTCATTCTTTTCCGTCGTCCAAAACGGGTGATTTACCATCGCTAGACATTCAATATAACGAATCTATTAATTATTAACGGCCGAGCGGAAAGTATTCATTCCAATCCCAGTGGGATATGCGTGACCCCGTGAACCCCGCTGATCATACAATTCCCCCGAGTATAATGAGGTCGATAAATAAAACGTCCAAAGTAAATAGACCGAGCTACGAATTAACGCTCATTCCACGCTCCGTTATTTATTATCAGTAATGAATTAATTAAGGGGACTGAGTGCTGAGGTTTATCTGAACGAGCTCTCGAGCCCCAAATGAACGAATAATTGATAATTACAGCAGCGCCATATGGTCGACGTCTCGGCACTCGACTTCTCAAAGCAAAAGAGCACTTTTTCCTTGCAAACTGGAGCCACACCTCCGATACTTAACACCAATATTCCCCCTTAATTGTCCGAGGGTGACGATGTTGGTTAAATTTTCTCATGGGCGCACTGGTATCCCGGACTTGTGCTCCACCCAGTGGACAAAAATCCTTCCCGTGAAATTCACCATCTGTAATTCGTCACGCGTTGAAAAATACCTCGGCAATTATCCGAGATATTTGCTGCTTCCAGAAAGTCCAAAAGGAGGAGACGCAAACACCTAAAACATTTTTGAAAAGAAAAAACGAGAGAGGAACTCTAGAGACGGGTGTTAATTCATTTTTGCCTTGCCCGTTTTTTAAGAATGACCGGTGAGTTTTTTGTCGGTGATATAATGAAAGTGCCGAGGGTGGGGTTAAAGCAGAGAGGGCTAATTGGTGAAAGATGACTTCTAATTGTTGAGCTCGCGGGGTTAGAAACATGGAGGTGGGAATGTGGCGTGCGCCGATGAAGCGAGACGATTCCATTCAGCGGAAGCGTACGGGAATCCCACGAAAGCGTAATTAGGTTCTTAAGGTGGGTTGGGGGTGATTAGGGTTTCCCTCGTGGGGTTTACATTTTTATTGGTCGATGAGTCTAGAGTTTCTTTTTCGCTTCTGTGCGGAAGCTTTGCAATCGGTGGATTTTGGGGCTCTTTAATTTTGGACACGGAAAAACCTAAACGTAAATTAAATTTTGCTAAACGTAATTTACGTTTATCACCAACATGATGTCTGGTGGCTTTTTTTCAGTGATGAAAATTGGAAATTCATAAAAGACTTCATAAAGGCATATTTTACCGTTAAAATAAAAAAGTGAATTACGATCTTAATAGAAACGTATTTTACGATTTACGAATGTGTAATTTATAAACGAAAAAATTCAAAGGTTCTGCGCATATTTTATATAAATCCACTTGATAATTTAAGCGGTACACATTAATAGCGCTCTTGAATTGAAGAGAAAATCGTTGAAAAAACCTCGACTTGTTCAATTCTCCCTGCGAACTGATTAATAAAAAGATTCTTCTGCTCCTTTCTCAGCACCACTATCAGTAATATTCTCCATTTTTTGTATTCGCATTCTGACACATGAAACCTACGACCTTCCTGGTTGTCAATCGATCAAGAGGATCGTAAAATGCGAATGAAAATGTCTGTTATTCCAGATCCCCTGCAGTTTTTTTACGCGCAGAGACGATCACTTTTTCTCTATCATCAGTGATATTTACCCGGAAAAATGGCCCATACAGGAATCGATCCAGCAGTCAATACAGAAATTTGAATGCAATATAAAAGAATTCCCTGAAATGAGTCTCCAAAGTCATCTATTAAGGTATTGATGTTCGCGGGTGTTGCCTTGGAGATCTTCAATGTCGAGAATACCCTTTAGTTTTGATACTGAACCTGCAGTGTCGAGACACAACAAGGGCCGCGGTAAAATGTTCGGGCTCTGTCAATTGTGGAGTAGCAAATTTAACCGGTCTAGTGATGATGATTACCACCGGGAAATTCAGATACCTCGCTTTTTCCTTGGTATCATTGGTATCTGGCCAGAACATGGAGAAACTAGAAGCATCAGATTTTACGTTTCTGTGACCATGGTGACTCTGTTTGCTGCTCTACCTCGCTTCATGGGACTATTCACCATCGTGAATGAGAATGAATTTTTCTTTCAAGTGGGTGTGGTCATGTATCAAATTTACGTGATCTTCGCTATGCTTTTACTCCACTTCAATTCCAATGTCGGTCGATCTATTTTGGAGGAAATGCGGGATAATTGGAAGACTACTCATTCCATGGAGGATAAGAAAGTTATGCGTCACTATGCTGAATATTCGAGAAAGATTTCATTGGTCACCGTTGCGATATTAAGTTTTGGTTTCATCGGTAAGTATATGATAAACTTACTATTCCAAACTATTATCTCTCTATATTATAAAAATTAAGATCGAATTCTGGTGATGAAAATTTGGTACTCAAAATTAAGAGTCACAAGGGCGCACATAAGGGTCACAATGTTCAGATTAAGGGTCCAACTAAAGGTCAGACTAAGCGTCCACATAAAGGTCATGGCAGTCAAAAACCGAGGGTCAAAAACAATGTTACCAGAGTCAAAATAAGGGTCCCAGGGGTCAGAATAAGGGTCATAAGGGTTATAATGAGAGAGGGGGTCACATGGTCATATGCGGATCATATGGAGGAGGGTGAGCGAGGGGCGTAGCCCCCTAGTCCATGAATATTGTTGAATTCACGTTGGAACTTTTTTTTGATTTAGTCAGTTGGTTGAATCCACTGATTGCTAAAGCCATAAAAGGAGGACACTCACTTGCTACAGTAGGTACGGTGGAGATTCCATTCCTCCCATCAAACCCATTTGGTGATGCTCTGGGAAATATCGCTTTCTACATAGCACGCATTATAGCTGCCATCCCACCGATTGGAATCGAACCATGCCTCACAGTTTTGATCGTTCATACTTGTGGACAACTTGTTATACTTCGAAACAGGATAACGACGTATGGAGGGAAAATTCGTCATCACTTTGGCGAAGACATCTCGAGGATGTGCAGTTGTTTGAAATGCCTCGTTGATTCTCACGTGAAAATCTGCGACTTTGTCAGAAGAATTGATGGCTATTTTCACATCGTCTTGTTCATGAGACTTTTTGTGGGAGTGATTGACTTCGTCTGCAGTGGATTTGAGGCGTCAAAGGTAAGAGTTAATAACAATAGGGGAAAGTAATGCTTCAATGTTTTTATCCATTCAGGCAATTACAAAAGGGGAGTATGCACACCTGATGACATTCGCGCTTTTCACGTTGCTTATTTACTCGACTATTTTGATCAGCTGCTCAATGGCGGAGATGTGTCAACAAGCGAGTTACGCTCTTGGTGACGCTGCGTACTCCACCGAATGGATGACAAAACACCCAAGAGTTTCTCAACGTTTGACTTTCATCATTCGCCAATCGAGAGTTCCATTGAAATTCACTGCGGGAAAATATTTTGTGCTTTCCCGAAGTCTCTTCAAAGAGGTGAAGTGATGTTTTATTTCAATTAAGTAGATAGTGGTGTCATTGAGATGGTAACATATTACTAGGTAATTTTGACGGCCAGTTTTCAATGAATATCTTGGAATCCAAGGGAGATAGCAAAATTTTTGTTGTAACCTTTTTCGTAGAGCCAATTAAGAGCTACAACAAATGTAAATACGAAAATTTCGCTATCTCTCTTAGATTCGGAAATATCCTTCAAAAACTCAACTGGGAGATAAGTCGACTGAAACCGTTTTACCACTTCGCTACTGATATTATATCTGGACAATTTCTGTTGCAGTGTTTCCTCACGGGGCTGTCATATATCTCAACACTTATGACTATCAAATTAGGGAAGTGAACAGTATGTAGATGAACGAGTAAGCTTTCCTTTTAGATGTTCATCGCAAATTTCCTAATGTGTAGACCGTTTTTACTTGAGAAAAGTTCAATAGCTTGAAAATAATAAACTCGCTCCAGGGACCGAGACCAAAGTCGAATGTCCTTCAGGTGTGCTGATGTCTTTTCCTAATTTTAATTTGTTTAAATAGAACTATATGCATACCAGGCTGATTCCAATAAAATTTCAGAAAAAAAAGTTATTTGCCAATTTCATTTATCCAATTCCACTTAAAGAGTATTTTTAACATTTCATTACATCCTCTTCATTAAGTGTTTCAGTTTATTTGAAAATATAATATCGATTTATCAAAGAATGTGGATTAATCAATGATACAACTGCAAAAAGAGAAATTTTCGTCAACAAAGCAATTACATTCAATTTTTTTATAGTAATTTACATAATTCAACCGTTTTTCTAACGCATGTATACGTAAACCCTCATCAACAGCAGAAACTGGACGCTGAATGGGAATTGAAACTCATGAATGCACATACGAGGGTAATGAGCACTGGGTTAAAACGATATTGACGCATCTCTTTTCGGTTCAGTCTCCTCTTCGCTCCATTTTTCATTGTTGGGGTTTCTATTATTGTTTTCGGACAATAGAAAAAATTGTCTCGACGGATTGTAATGCGAACTCTCTGTTGTAGAATTCTTTTCTACGAATTCGTCTACTGATGTGCGATGCTTTTTTTTCACGAGGAGCTCGTACTGATGCTCGGGAGATGCCCAGCGGGATGCCATTCAGCAAATTGGTGTGTAAAGAAACGGGTTCGAAATGAGTTTTTGAGATTATCGCGTATGGGGGTTTTAGGACGGCATTAGAGTGGAGCCGGTGAGGTTTAAGGTTTGGTCAGTGAGTAATGGAAGTGTCATAATATTTACCGGATTTTATTACGGATTTTGCAATGGATTCTAAACACTCCCCATAAAAAATTTATTTAAAAAATGTATAATATGAGCCAATTCCATATATTTTTCCAAATTTATAAAGAACATATAAAAAGTATATATAAAGCAGTCATTTCATATAGTTTTTTTTATATAAATTGGGCCAATTTAATTTTTTTTTTAAATATTTTTCAAAATATAAATTTTTCCGGGTGGGTTGGAGAGTTTTCTATCTATGAGAAATGCTGTTGAATATTTTTTCCACTCATTTTTAATTGATTTTATTCGTGATGCTCGTACTAATTATTAAAAAACGACGCGGGGATCTTTTATCGGTTGGAATCAAATTACTTGACAAAAAAGAACACTTCCACCGAAATGTGATAATTTTCGTAGTAGTAATTGTTCTCGAGAGGCATTTGTGTGACTTCGTTCTACAGAGAATTATATGAGGCTCCGGTTTTATCAACTGAATGTTATTGCGTACATTCTTAGAATTTTTTTAAAATTTCATGGAAGGTATGATAGTAAACCTCATGAGAGGGACATTGAATTGAATGTAGGGAATAATTGATTATGAAATTTCAAGTTTTAAGTAGAATTCAAGGAAATTCATGAGTTTTCAGTGAGAGTGCGATGGAAATTTCACAACTTGATTGAATTATCAGTGGAAAATGCCATGAATTTTCAATTTTTCCCTGAATTTTCGCAGAATAATTTAACTGAAAAATCAAGTATTTTATTAATTTCCAGATCACTTGAACAGGGAATCAATGGAATATTTGATTTGTCAATCAGAAGATTTCCTGAACAGTGTAACTGCAAAAAAAAAGAAATTTTGTATTCGTGGTATTTGTATAAACATGCCGCAGAGGATGGCACCATATGGTAGATTTCATCCGTCTTTCATCTGACGTTCGAGTGAAAGTTTACGTCATCTCCGCGAAAATACCGTTGGTGCACCGTTACTGGATTGCATAAGATACGTAACAAAAGGAAGAATGATATATCATTGGTGGGGTAAGGAACTGTAACGGAATTTTGAAATCATCTCTCCATTTTCACTTTCAATTGTCCGCAGATTTGTCACAATGGTCGATATTCCGGGAATTTTGCGGCATTTTCACTTTTGGATCTGAATGAAAGCATTGCAATCGGTCAACTTTAATTTTTCAGTTTTACTGTTGGGATAATTGCAGGTTGTTTAATGTGTAACAAAATGCCGCTAATTTTTCAAATTGTGCGATGGCCCCTTGATTCCATCGAAATTTTGTTTCCAAAGATTACACTGAGAGAAAAAACTCGCTCTGAGGAAAATTAACCAACTTGATGGAAGGAGATTTAAATCGAAAATTCAGATGAAGCTGTGACTGATATTTTAAGAAATTTTGAACAGTGAAATTCAAGGAGAGATATCTCGGAATTTTCATGATTTTTCACTAATTTTCCCGGAATAATTAAACTGTAATTTACAGTTCCCACGGATTTCTCCATGAAATTATGAATTTTCATGGAAAAATCTGCGTTCCGTAATTTTAATCTGAATCCCCTGTGAAAAATTACGATACCGTCACTTAAATTTTCTGACTCGATTCCGTAATCGGTGAGCGAGTTGTGAGTTCCGTAATTTTTACTGAACATTTCTCTCCGTGTGGCGCGCGCGAAGCACACCGCCTAGCAATGAAAAAAAATCTTCATTGGTCAATCACAAAATATCAGGCGGAAATTGATTGAATGGACAATATTTCGTCATTCAATAACGACCTTCTCGTAATTTCATCTCGCAAAAAACCGAAAATACCCCAGGAGTTTGAGTCGGGAAAAAAATGAATGTCTGCATTTCACGTGGCTTAGCTGCTGCAGGGTAGTTAAGCGACTCGAGGATGCATTGAGGCTCCCGGAAGTGGGCGGAACAGCCAGACAGTGCTTCTGCATTGTACCCCAGTGAACTCACGAATTTCGCTCCCCTCCTCCAAGAATCCACTCTATTGCATTATGCGTGTATTCCGCCGGCGAAAAAGGACATTCGATATCCGTAATTCCGTAATAACGAGCGAGCCACGGAGCAATGCACGTTCCTCTCGCTTGAGAAAATTCTGGATGGTTCATTCACGTTTTTTTTCGGAGATTCCGAGGAGAAAAGGAATCACTCGTGCATTGAGCTCGGGTGCTGGTGAATCGTGTGATGCAAGGCCCTGCGTAAGCAGGAAATCGAGAGGTTGCAATTTTCCGAAATTGTTTACGCCACTTGAGTTTTCTTGAGGGCGCGCGGGGAAGAAACATCTGAAGAAAGTGGCGTGGAAAAAACATCAAAATTATGTTCTAGAACGTAGTTCTGGTGCGTGACTTCGATTTCAAGAACTATTGGTTCCGCGCCAAAAATTTGGATCTTTTTGGAAGATTATTTTTACATTTTCATTGTAAAACTGGAAAGAATTCTGAAAATTTTTGCTTTTACTGGAATTTTAATTGAATTTTTATTTTTTGAGCGGCTGGTAGACGAGAATTTCCCAACTTTCTTCTATTTCCAATCAAAACATGAATATTCAGAATCAAATTACTTTGAATTTTTAATTATTTGGAATTATTTTTAGATAAAAATATATTAACCTAAAGTTCACTGATTTCAATTTTCGTGGAAGAATTTAACTGAAATTTCCCTTGATTTTTCTTAAAAAATAGAATTTTCAGTGACGAAATTCCTTGAAATTTCAGAAGAACTGAACCAGGAATTTCGGCCAAAAATTTTTAAGAGTACTTCTTAACATGAAAATTCAATAGAAAACCTAGCGAATTAGTTGGAAAATTCTGTTGAAATTCTATAGGAATTCTATCCGTTTCCGATAGCATCTATCTATTGATAAATTCTACTTAATGTTTTGCGCTGATTCTATTGCACAGTTGATAGGAAAAAGTCAGTATATTTTGAATTTCTGTTCGAATTTTTCTCTTGATATTTTTTCTATTAGAGTTATTGGGCACCAATTTTCTTTTGGTTTACAGAATCCGAGTGGAAAAAACTTGGAAAATTGATGCCCAAGCATTTATATAGAAAAGATTCAAACAGAAATTCGAAATTTATTAAGTTTAAATTTAATAATTTATTAATTCCTACAGAATTTTCTAGAAAATTCGCTCGGTTTTCTATTGAGTTTTTTATTTCATACGTGACGCTCCTAAAAAATACACTCTTCTCCCAGAAAATTATTGCTCGACAAAAGGATTGTTTTTTTCAGTGAGCACGATGACTTGAATTAAAACGTAATTTTTCATGAAGTTTTATCTTCGTGCGTCCCTTTCCAACGTCACGTACACTCTCCCCCCACAACGGCATATTTATCGAATTTTCTATTTGCCGAGAGTTAATATATCCCCGAAAAAATGAGGAAAAAAAGACTTGACCAATAAACTTGAAGGCGTATTGTGGCCCACCCTGTGCCACCCACTTTTCGAACTGGGACACTGGACACCGTTACTTCCCCCGGGACTATCCCACAAAACCTACTCCATTATTTTTCAGGAAAAGTCACTGGAAACTTTTACGATGTCGTTAGAGGGACTCACACGTGTGAGACTTCTGCCAGTTTTCTGGCACGTGGCCAGCATTCACTCATTCTGAAAATTGCTTTCCTCATCAGTGTGAATTTTATCTCGAATTCGTATTTCACACGCCATCAGTGTGACTGAATTTTTGACATCATAAAGAATTGTTGGGTTTGTGAGGAAATTTTGGGATACATTTTGCATAATTTTTATGCTCTTTCGGGTGAAGATATCTCCGAATATTTTGAAGCCTGCTGGAATATTCTTAATGATTCGTTTTTCAAGGGATCATCTTCATAAATATTGTTACTAAATTCATAATTATATCAAATAAACAATTTATTCACTTCATTTGACGAATTTTCTTATTAAAAAAATCTCATTTTCATTTTTTTTGTGGAAGAAATTCGAAATTATGGTTCAACCTCACTGATAGAATCAGATAAACAATTTTTTTTAATACAGGAAAAATCTTTATTCGTTATGAATAAAGAATTTAGTTACATCAAACCACGATTTATTAA